TTATGCTCTTGCTCAGCTGGAGTATGAACAGATGGTCCATCCCTCTGCTAGTTGTAGGGACAAAGCAGTTTGTGCCATGTTAACTTTGGCACGGTGCTTTTAGTTAATATATTTTGTCCGCAGCCACATAGAGGTGACTGTTGTGTCATAGGATATTGAACTTCCCAATAATCAGTTACCCCAGTATTAGACTGTTTTTATCTCTGTAACCATTACCCAGGCCAGTGCTATAATATCTCTGCTGAGGAATGAATGCTTGCTATAATTCTACATTTCCAAAGGCCTATGGCAGTGTGACTGTAATAGGTTGTCATGTGCAAGCTAAGTCAGTTATTCTCCTAGGGGTACTCCATCATCAGGACACAGCCCTTTGTTTTCCTCTCAGTTACACTGTGGTAAATCAGTGGGGCTTGTGTAAAACCAGAGCGAACGTTATTCATCTACATCCCACCCTAATGTAGACATACACGCACAGGCCACTTGAGCTGAGCAGCTTGAAGTGAATTCTGAGTCAGGCTGGATTATTGCCTTTCCTTCCCTATTTCCTTGTGTTTTGTGGGGTTTTTTTCTTGTGTATAGCACCACCCCGGCATTTTGCAGCCTGCTGGACTGAGTTGTGCTTCACCTGTGACTTGAGCACTACCAGTGAACTGGGAAAGTTGTTATTTCCGCAAGGTTAACCAGCAACATCAAACGTGGGCAAAACAGCTGTTGTCTCATAAGAAGCAGTTTCCACTGGTGTCAGTGAGGAATCCGTGGCATATTTTTAATAGGGGTTATTAACTGGTAAGTCCTGGCTGAATGCCAGTTTGGGAAATGGCAAGCTTTCTGGCTATCTAAACTCCTGCTGTGGTTTCTTTTTCACTTTCTGTCCTATGGTGTAGTGTTACTAAAAGCTATTTAAGGAGCTGCCACATTCTACCTAGAGGCCTTTAAGTAGAGGATGAAATTGTTGCTAAGGTGCAGTATAGATGCAAGGCCCAATGTCCATCCTTTTCAGAATCAAGTAGTGATTCTTGGCTGGTTTGAAAGAGGTTAAAGCCACTTAATTTTCGGAGCAAGGATATCAGCTTTTTCTGAAAACCAGGCCCCTTGCAATGTCCTATGCTGGGCACTCAAGGCTTTTATTTGTAGTAAATGGAGGAACTCCGTTGGAAACAGCTTGCATTGTAGAATGGACACCACATGGGAACACTAATTCTGTGCTCAGTTATGCTGATAAAAATGCAGAACAACCCCCCTGATACAAGTACTTATACTAGGAAAACCAAGAGCAGAATGGACTTCATTCCCTTCCTCACTCCTGAATTCTGCTGCAGTGCAAACAGTACTTGCAGGTATTATCCTTTCAAGTTTTTAATGTCTTTTTCATGTGTTTTCAGTAGCCCACAAAAAAGTTGCACTAAGTCCTGCCAGTCATTGGTCATGTGACTCCCCCAGGCTTTATCTCCCTCTCTTGTGCTGCAGTTTTCCCCGCTCGTCTTTGTAATCTGACATTGTGATTTGTTCACTTACTTGCTTGTTTTTCTCCTCGAAGAAGATTTGCTGACTCACTGGGGAGGAGGCAAGAGACTGGAGGCAGCTGGGGGGCAGTGATAAAGGAATGGCCACATCCAGCCTTCATGGTTTGCTGATTGGGCAGTGATAAAGCCATGGCCACATCCAGCCTTCATGGTTTGCTGATGACAACCCTTCAGTTGAAGGCCTGAGTCACATTCCATTTCCGAGCTAAGATTGCTGGGGACACTAGGATTGCGGAAGTGGGGCAAGGGGACAAGTTCCCAAAGACTTCAGTTATTGTCTAGGACAAGTCGTAAGTCAGTGTTACCTCTCACATTAAATTTCCAATGGTTCCATGAAAGGGCGATGGCACTGTCCACCATCGCCCTTTCATGGAACCATTGCTCTTGCTCGTCAACATGTGTGAGTCCATTGATTTCATTGTGGAAGGTAGCAGGTTTGGGCTTTCAATTAAAGTATTAAATGGCTGTTTTTAGACATCCTGGGGGCTAAGTCCAGCACGTACCCCAAAATGCTGATGCCTCTGCATTGAGTTTCTGCTCATTCTTTTGTTGTACATAACAGAATATATGTACTGAACTCCAGGTGCAAGTCCACTGAAATGAGTAGTTATACCCATCT